CACCCCTGAACGGGGCAGGTGTCTCTTACTTAATTACTGTGAGCCACACTTGGCCTGTTGTTTCTGTGGAGTCATCCGGGAGCCTTAGGAAAACCACAAACCAAATCCCAGGGAATGCTTTAAAGAGCCGGCCTTGGTGTCTTCCCAGGGCTACTTAAGGTGCGAGCTAAGGTGTGGAGACCCTGACTCCTCCTTGACCTTGACCCAGAGCAGCTGGTGCAGGGAGTGGGGCCCCTGGGGCCGGCGGCCCTGCACAGCCCCTATTTGCACAGTGACCACCTGAACCTGTGTCTTAGCTCCCTGGGGGCGCAGCGGCCTTGCAGACCCAGAACAGGCCACAGGGTGAGAGGTCCTGGCGTCACCTTCTGTTAACATGTGCCACTATATTTTGCATTTATACCTTGGTATTACACTCTTTTATAAATAGTTTCCCCCTGTCCTCCATCTGGAATGCCTATGGTGCCCCTTCCTCTCTCGGTCCAGTTACATTTTGTTTCTGTATATGACTCTCTTGTGTTTTTTAAATAAAGAACTGTTTACAACAACAACAACAACAAACAGTGCTCAAATCTACATGGACGCCAGGCCACAGCAGAGGAGGGCCTTGCTTGTCAAGGAAGCCTGGTTTGAGCCTCATCTGAGCCTGGTTTGGGGAAAAAGGAAAATAAATGGAAGACATAATTTCAGGCCTGGCACAATGCACAACCTATTTGGAAAGAGGAAACATGCATATATACAGCACTAAAACTTAGTTATAAATGATTTTGAGAAATGCAACCCCTCGAGCCAGGCTGTGGGCTCTCAGCTACCACAAAACTGTGCCTCAAGGAGAAACTGGGATGCCTTAAGCAAGACCCACCCTGGGACCTAATTAGAGGTTGTCCCAGCCGTCTTCAGCTTCCAGTGCCTCCTGCAGCCCATCAGCCTCACACCCAGTCTGCTGTCTCAGGGGGTCAAGCCATGTGCCCTGGGAGTCAGGACAGTGGCAATTCTAGGTCACATCAAGGAGCTTTGGGCCTGTGCCTGGCCGGGTTCACCAAAACTTTTAAAAATGTATGAGGCCCACGTTGCGGCACCAGCACCCCATATGAGTGCGGGCTCAAGTGCTGGCTGTTCCACTTCTGATCCAGTTCCCTGCTAACGTGCCTGGGAATGCAGCTGAAGATGGCCCAGGTACTTGGGCCCCTGCACCCAATGTGGAAGACCCGGGTGGAGTTCCAGGCTCCTGGCTTTGGCCTGACCCAGCCCCAGTTACTGAGATCATTTGGAGAGTGAATCAGCAGATGGAAGATATTTCTATCTCCTGCTCTGTAACTCAGCCTTTCAAATAAATATTTTTTTGACAGGCAGAGTTAGACAGTGAGAGAGAGACAGACAGAGAGAAAGGTCTTCCTTCTGTTGGTTCACCCCCAAATGGCTGCCTCGGCTGGCACTCTGCACTGATCCGAAGCCAGGAGCCAGGTGCTTCCTCCTGGTCTCCCATGTGGGTGCAGGCACCCAGGACTTGGGCCATCCTCCACTGTCTTCCCTGGCCACAGCAGAGAGCTGGACTGGAAGAGGAGCAACTGGGACAGGACCGGCGCCCCAACCGGGACTAGAACCCAGAGTGCTGGCACAGTAGGTGGAGGATTAGCCTAGTGAGCTGCGGTGCTGGCTGTTAAATGTTTTTTAAAAAAGTGATTTATTCTTAAGTACAAAATAACATAATTTAGCCCAGGCTCACTTGCATAAGGGCTAAAAAGAATGTTAACAAACTCAGCCCAAGGTCTGGTGTTAATGCTGGAAACTTTCCTTCAGGGGGTGAATCTCAAGCCAGTTTTTAAAGAACAGGGATTGCAACAAGGAAAATGCCTCAAAATGAGGAGAAGGCACCAGCACATAGAGACACAAGACTCTCAGTCGGTTCTGTTTTAAGACAAAAAAAAAAATACTATGCATGGAAGGGTGGGGAAGTCACAGAGAGAGAGAGAAGAAACAGATGGGGGTGCGGGGAGAAGAGGAAGAGGAGGAAGGGGAGGAGAGACTTCTCATTTTGTTTGAGGACACAGCCCTTAGGGAAATAACTGGAAATCGGAAGATGCATTGGCATTCTCTTTCTGCCCTCCCTGTATGGACAACTGGTGTCCAGATGTCTGCCCAGCTCTGGTGGCTAAGTTTAGTTTATCGAATTAAAGCGATTACTGCAAGCAGTCGCTAGGAGTCCATTTGCGCTCTCTCCTCGATGCCCTCCAAACCCCACATCAAGGGGACAGGCTCACCTGCTGACCCTGGAGGCTATTTATATCCTCTTGATCTCCGTGTGCTTATTAAAGGCAATTAAGCAGCTGGAGCTGGGCCAATCCGAAGCCAGGAGCCAAGAGCTTCTCCTGGGTCTCCCATGCTGCTGCAGAGGCCCAAGGACTTGGGGCATCTTCTCCTTTTCCAAGCTACAGCAGAGAGGTGGATCAGAAGAGGAGCAGCCGGGACTTGAACCAGCATCCAAATGGGATGCAGGCACTGTAGGCGGGTGCTTAGCCTACTATACCACAGTGCCAGAACTGGGTTTACCAATTTTTAGAGATTTATTTATTTATCTGCAAGACAAACAGGAGAAAGGGGGAGAGCTAGATAGAATGAAATGCAATGCAGAGATGCTCCATCTGATTCATGTCTCAAATGCCTGTGGCAGCCATGGCTGGACCAGGCTGAAGGAAAGAATCCAACAACTTGAGCCATCTGCTGCCTCCCATTACTACAGGAAATATGGCTTAGAAGCTCTGGGTCTTGAACCAGGCACTCTGACATGGATGCTGATGTCATACTGATGGCTTTACCCAGGGTCCCATGATGTCTGCACCTGCCTTCTTAAAACATAAAAAGTTTATTGAAAAGCAGCATTACAGTGAAGAGGCAGAGGATGAACAGTGGGAGAAAAGGGAGAGGGAGGTGGTGGTGCTGGGGTGGAGAGAGAGAGAAATACCTTCCATCTACTGGTTCACTCCCCTAACGCCTGCAAATTCAGGGAAAACCTCCTGGCTGCCTTGAATATTTTATTTTTTTATGATTTTTATGTTCTTATTTGAAGGACAGAGATACAGAGAGAGGTAGAGACAGAGAAAGGACTTCCATCCACTGGTGCACTCCCCAGATGGCCGCACTGGCCAGAGCTGCGGGATCCAAAGCCAGGAGCCAGGAGCTTCTTCCAGGTCTCCCACATGGGTGCAGCGGTCCAAGGACTTGGCCCATCTTCTACTGCTTTCCCAGGCCATAGTAGAAAGCTGGATTGGAAGAGGAGCAGCCGGGATTAGAACCGACGCCCATATGGGATGCCAGTGCTGCAGGCCAGGGCATTAACCTGCTGTGCCACAGCACCGGCCCCTGAATATTTTCCCTTCCTGTACTTTGGACTCCAGGCCAGAATCAAAGTGTCTCTCTTAGAAGTCCAGCCATGTGCCAGCAGGTCTTGGGACTTCCTAGCCTACAAGACCACATGACACAGTGCCTTAGCCCATGATGCCCTTGGGAGCCACCGGTCCACAAGTGCAGATTCCATTAGCACCCCCTCCATTATTCTGATGAGTATCCCCTTCCTCCCCCTCTGCACTCCAGGACAGCCACACAGGCACACTAACTCCATGCCTGCTATCCCTCCCCCATCACTCTCCAGCCTCCAGGTCTAACCCAGTCCTGGAGGCCACAGGAAAACAACAGGAAAAGCACACTATGTTGCATTTTCAAAGCACCCGACCCAGGCAGTAGGCTTTTAAATACAACCTCCAGCAGGTTCCTCATTAATGGCTCCACCCTGGCTCTGCACTGTGTTCTGTACCTGCGTCTTTAATAACATTTATTACTGAGCCGGCAGTGCGGTGCAGTGGGTTAAGTCCCCAGGCGTGATCCCAGCTCAACAAATTAATACTTGTAACAGTGAAGTAACGCGACACATGGTGTGATTTAGGACCGGATTTATTTATTTATTTATTTTGGACAGGCAGAGTTAGAGAGAGAGACAGAGAGAAAGGTCTTCCTTCCGTTGGTTCATCCCCAAGTGGCCATTATGGCTGGTGCTGCGCCGATACGAAGCCAGGAGCTTCTCCTGGTCTCCCATGGGGTGCAGGGCCCAAGCACTTGGGCCATCCTCCACTGCACTCCTGGGCCACAGCAGAGAGCTGGACTGGAAGAGGAGCAACCAGGACAGAACCCAAGGCCCAAGCAGGACTAGAACCCGGGGTGCCAGTGCCGCAGGTGGAGGATTAGCCTAGTGAGCCACGGCGTCGGCCTTTCTTTCTTTTTTTTTTTTTTTCACTAATGACTTCTTAATCAATACATTTCTGTGAGGAGTTCAGGGCACCACAGCCTGACAGCAACAGCAGCTCAGCGAGGGGCCAGGGCAGAGGGGACACAAAGAGCTCCCCCAGGGCAGCGCTGGTTTCTCCTCCTGACTCTGCTGCTCCCTCAGGATCCGGGCCAGAGAGACCCCGGGAAGAGCGGTCCACGGGCAAGGGAGGAAGGGTCGGGATCCCCAGAGAGAACGGAAGCCGGAGCTCGAGGTGGCAGAGCGATCATTAAATCCACAGAGGGGAAACCCCACAGGCCACAGCGCCACGCACCCGCTCCTCCGTCAGCTCCCACACAGCTGGGAAGGGCGGGGACACGGACACGCGGGACAACCCCGCAGCGGGACCTTGGGGCAGCGGCCTGCACTTCTCAGAGTCCGTCCTTGCGCATGAGCACAGAAGTCACCGCGTGCCCGGCACAGCCCCGCCTTCCTCCCCTTCCACACCCAGGGCGCCCGGCACCCTCCCCCGAGTCACAGGCCCTCCGCCAAGCACCCCTCCGTGCTCCATTCAGCCCGCACCGCGCGCTCCTCCCAGGGCCCCAGAGCGCCCAGAGCCCCACCCCAGGGCCTCACCGTGGCCCTCAGCCTCCGGAGCCGCCGCGCTCCCAAGGCCACGCCCACCGCCGCGCGGCCCGGCGCTTTCCCGCCCTCCGCAAGCCCCGCCCACCCGCCCGTTGCCCTCAGCCCCTCACACAGCCCAGGCCCCTGCGCCCCGAGGGCGCCATCGATGACCCCCAGCCCGGCCTGCAGGCCGCCGAGGGCCCTGGGGGCTGCCGCCCCCCTGGGGAACCCGGATGCGGACCCGCTTCAGAAAACAGAGCTGTGGACAATGGAGGACCCCGCGCCAGGGCTCCGGAACGGGACAGCGGTGCGGGGTCACTTGAGGGCCGCCTTCCGGAACCGGAGTCAGAGGAGAAGACAGGGAACCGCGGACGCGGGGCGGACCCCGCGCGAGGGACAGGGTTCCAGGAGGACGGGCGCCGGCCCCAGGCTCAGGACGCCGCTCCTCGGGAGGAGGATGCGGGAGCCGCGCCCACAGCTCCCGGGAGGGCGGGAAGGGCCGGGCCCCCTGGAGGAGGCCGCGGGGCTGCGGAGCCCGGGCGGCAGGGGGCGCTCTCCGGGACCACAGCCTCCTGGTGTTTGTAACTCCAGGCCTTTCATTCTTACTGTTGTGTTTATTCATTGGAGAGAGAGAATTACAGAGAGGGGAGAGGCAGAGAGAAAGGTCTTCCATGCTCTGGTTCGCTCTCCAGATGGCCACTACAAGGGGTCTCCCAGGCAGGAGCAGGCCCCAAGCCCTCGGGCCATCTTGCATGGCTTCCCCAGCCCATTAGGAGAGAGCCAGAATGGAAGAGGGGCAGCCGGGACAGGAACCAGCGCCCATGGGGGAAGCCGGCCCTGCAGCCAGAGGCTTAGCCCACCAGGACACAGCACAGGCCCGTCCCACGGCGTTTCCGGTGCTGTGCAGAGAAACTGACTTGAAACTTAGCAGACTCCAGGAGCTAGAATCCTGCTGTCTTTTCTCTTAGAGAGGGGAGGCCTTGCCTCCTGCGTGCGGGCTTGTAGTGTATAACTTTGTTGCAGGCAGAAGTCTCTGAGGGTTAAAGTGCAGTTAAGGAAGTGAGGTTAAGGTGGCTGCAGGTCATCCCGCACTGTCTTGGGCTCAGAGGCTCTGGAGCTGGTGCAGTCACACTAAGGAGAGGAGCCCAGGAGCTGCAGCGTGGGGGTGACAGGGCATGCACAGAAGGTCAGGGTTGGGCAGCGCGGTGGCACAGCGGGTTAGATCCCCAGCCTGCAGAGCCCGCCTCCATGGGGCCTGCTCCACTGGCTATGCAGCTCTCTGCTGGGACCTGGGAAAGCAGTAGAGGATGGACCAAGTCCTTGGGCCCCTGCACCCACATGGGAGACTTGGAAGAAGCTCCTGGCTCCTGGCTTTGGATCGGCACAACTCTGGCCATTGGCCATTTTGTGAGTGAACTAACGGAATAGAAGACTCTCTCTGGCTCCACCTCTCTCTGTAACTCTTTCACATAAAATAAAATAATTATTAAAAAAATAAAAGAAGCACAGTGTCTGTGTCCCTGGGGCCTCCATTTGTTCACTCATCTCTTCCCTGAAAGGTTGATGCGCCCAAGGCAGCTGAGAACCCTGGGGTTTGAGTCATTCAGTTTGTTTTGCACCTTTTCTCTCTATCCTTATCCTCTCTTCTCATTGTGTGTGTAAGTGTGTGTGTGTGTGTGATTTTTTATTTATTTATTTTAGAGTTAGCACTACAGAGAGAGTGAGAGACAGAAAAAGGTCTTCATCTGTTGATTCACCCACCAAATGCCTACAGTGGCTGGACCTGGGCTGATCTAAAACCAGGAGTTTATCCAGGCCTCCCACGTGGGTGCAGGGGCCCAAGCCCTTGGGCCATCTCCCACTGCTCTCCTAAACAATAAGCAGAGAGCTGAATTGGAAGAGGAGCAGCCAGGACACGAACTGACTCCCACATGGGATCCTGGCCCTGCTGACAGAGGCTTCCCCTACGAAGCCACAGCCAGGCCGCATCTCCTTCTACTTTAAATCAGATGTGGAGAAATCCTGTCTGAACCCCGTGCTCACATTAATGAGATTGTAGGGATGTGTGGAAAAGAATCTTTCCTCCAATAGGGGTGAAAACAAAATCTGTGTCTTTGTGCTTTTTCCACATAAATTCTTAGGTGGTTTTTCTAGTTCAGTGAACAATGTGCCTAATATTTTGGTGGGGATTGCCTTGAATTTGTAATTTGCTTTGGATGGAGTGGAAATTTTCATCATGTTAATTCATGTAATCCATGAACATGGATGTCTTTCTAGTTTTTGTGTCTGCTTCAATGTCTTTCATTGGTGTCTTGTAATAGTCATGGTAGAGAAAACATTAAGAAATGGACAAGCAGGAGTGCTTTCTACATGGCTTGGCACATGTTTTAATGAGATGTGGGAGCAAAGCATCAAGGCCTGTCTGTGTCTAGTACACAGTAACTACTCAGTCACATTAGTTCTTATCAGTCCATCACCATCTGCTCTTTCAGAATCTTCCTCCTTGTCTTAGAAACATGGATAGCTGTTCATGGTGTAATGGACTATTCTGCTCACATATGTTAATGTTCTTCTAATGATTCAAATGTTTAGTATTATTAATGTCTCAAGGGGCATCATCTACATATATTTGGTATGTCCCTTATTAATTGTGAAGGTACTTCTCCAGGTCGTATCCTGTAAAGGGACTTGCAAGATCAAAGTTCTGGTACATTCCTGATGGTGCTGTTCTGGCCCCATTGCCTGGCAAGAAGATTTTCCCATTCACATTCACAGCCACTGATGAGAATGTTCTTTTCTATACCCCCTTGCAGAAACTAGACAGCCCCTGTTACCTTCTGTTAACTTTTACCAGCACTTAACTCTTTGTTGTGAGATTTTATCAACTCAGATTACACTCAATAGGCCTGGAAAGGCTGCGATCAATGGGATGGTCTGTGTTCTCTTGTATTGGATGACTGCTCTGCTCTGAGATAATCAGACTACAGCAATGCGAGCACACGAGTCTTGCATGGTGGACGCCACTGCATGTTGGGTTCCTGCAGTGTTCTGGATTTTGTGTCTGAGGCCCTCGTTTCTCTGTTGCTCTTTCCTTTCTCTCTGCTTGCTTCCTTATTCTTTCTTCCCACTGACCTCGGGATTGGTCTGCTCCTGTTTTACTAGGATTTTGAGATACTTCAATAGGTTATTGGAAGTCTTTCTAATTATTTGATGTAGGAGCTTAATCCCATAACCTTTCCTCTGCATACTACTTTTAGAATTTCCCATCAGATTCAGTGTGTTGTGCTTCCATTTTAATTGGTTTCAGGGAATTTTTAAATTTCCCTCTTGATTTCTTATCCAGCCTTTATGTATTTGTATATCTTTGGAGGTTCTTTTGTTGTTGATTTCTACTATTATAGCATACATTATAATTTTTTTGAATTTGTAAGATTTGCTTTATGGATCTGTCTTAATGAATGTCCCATGTGCAGATGAAAAGAATGTATATTCTGCAGCTGTGGAGTGAAATATTCTGTAGTCATCTGTTATGGCCATTTGGTCTGTAGTAGCTTCTCTCTGATGTTTGTTAATTTTTTTTCCAGGTGATCTCTTTCTGTTGATGAAAGGTGAGTGTTGAAGTCCCCCACTATTACTGCATTAGAATTCATGTGTCCTTTAGATGGAATAATTTTGTTTTATAAATTAGGGTGCTGCAGCAATGGGTGCTGTGGGGAGCAACTCGGACTATACTGTTACTGGAATTAAGACTTATTCTATACATCTGCTCTCCCACAATATGGCGCTGGGAGAGAAGAAAACAGCTTCTACACCGCTGCCTCCAGTTCAGCCAATAAACTGTAGGACTTGCTCCTGATTGGAGGAGAGCAGCGTACTCGGCGTGTGGGCAGCCGAGTTAGGATTGGCGGAGGAGGACTATAAAGGAGGAGAGAGACGGCATGCACCAGGAACATCTAAGGGGAACATCTAGCTGAAGGAACACCTGTGCAGCCCCCGAGAGAGCCGGCCGGCGGTGTGCCGCTCCGCTGCGGAAGTGGGGAATGTGGCCAGGGGGAACTGCCCTTCCACGGAGGTGGAAGGGATAGTAGCCAACCCGGGAAGAACCAGCAGCAAACCCGGGGAGGGCCGAGCAGACGAAAGAACAGCGCAGGGTCCTGTGTCGTTCCTCCACGAAGAAGGGGAGCGACAGGTGCATATGTACTTACCATTGTCACATCCTCTTGTTGAATCAAACCCTTGATACTCATATAGCAACCGTCATCTCTTGTTCCAGTTTTTATCATCAAACCTATTTTATCTGATCCAACCATAGGTACTCTTGCTCACATCTGATATCCATTAGCATGAGGCATCTTTTCCCATCCTTTCCCTTTCAGTCTCTGTCTTTACTGGTGTGTTTCTTGTAGGTGACTTGTGGTGGGATCTTGGTTTTCATCCAGTCATCCTGTCTGTATCTTGTAACTGGGTAATGTTGTCTGTTGACATTCACAGTTATTATGGATAAGGGATGGCTTAGAGCTTTATTTTTAAAAATTTCATCATTTTCTTGTGAGTACCCTATGTTCTTTTTCCAGTGGGTTTTCTGTCATGCGTCTTGATGGTGGCAGTGACTCCTTACTCTGAGTCACTTGCAGAGGCTCTGGGACAGGAACTGCACAAGGCAGACAGTGCTCCTGTCTCAGGAAGACCCTTTTCTGGCATAGGAGCCTGATGGTCTAGAGGTGATCAGAGAAACTCATTCTGTGTCTGACTGGGATCACTACTTGATCCTTTCAGTGTTCTTCGGTCCTGCTGTGTCACCCAGGGATCAAACTGACTGAATATAAATGATAGATCTTAGTACCAGAGTGACTCATGGGGGAAGCATATTCTCCAAATGGCCAAATGATGTCCCTGAATAACAAATGAGAATTCCTCAGTTCCTTGGATGTCACAGCATCAGATACACTTACCCAACCAGTAAAAGTGTTTCTACCTGTGCAGAAACTTCTTGGTTTGATAACATCCGATTTTTCCAATTTATTTTGCTATCCATGTTCTTTTGGTCTTAGCCCAAAAACTGTGTTGACTCTGCCCATTTCTTAGAGCACTTGTGCCATGTTTTCCCCTGTTAGTTTCATAGTTTCAGATCTTACATTTAGATCTTGGATCCATTTTCAGTCGATTTTTGTAAATTAAAATCCAATTTTCCCAGTCCCATTAAAATAGATGTGTATTTCTCCAGGGAGTGTTTTTCACACCTTTGTCAAAAGTAAGTGGGATGTAGCTGCATGAATTTCTAGGGGTTCACTTTTGTTCCATTGTCCTATGTGTCTATTGTTATGTTGGTACCATACTGTTTTGGTCTCAGTAGCCTTGTGGCATATCTTTAATTTTGAACTGTGGTGCCTTCAGCTTTGGCTTCATTGTATTAAGACTATTTTGAGTATTCAGAGCCTTTTGTGTTTTCATAAGAATTTTAAGATTTTTTTCTAATTCTGTGAGGATGTCATCAGTATTTTGATGGGGACTACATTGAATCTCTAAATTGTTTTGGGTAGTTTTGATATTTTAATAATATTAATTCTTCTAAATCAAGAACATATGCAGGAATTCCATAATTTTGTGTCTGCTTCATTTTCTTTCATTAGATTCAAGGTGTTTGAATTTTCATTGAGGAGGACTTTCACATCCTGGTTGAACTTATCACAAGGTAATTAAGTTTTTGTATCTGTATAGAATTGGATAGCACTTATCAATTCTCATCAAGATGGTTGTGAGTATATAATAAGATCATTGATTTTGGAATTCCAAACTGTGTAGCTAATAAAGAATTAATAATCCAGAACATATAAGGAATGGAAAAAACTTCACATGTCAGGTAGATGCCTCAAATTTGGAAATTTGGACTTTCCCTGGATCAGGAAAGTGAGATGTAAATAAGGCGTTGAAGGCATTTGTTAAGTGTAGATGCTTTGTATGATTCCCTTCCATCTGTGCTACTCTGACATTAAACAACACTGCTTATCTGTCCCCAGTGTGCAGGGGACATAGGGTGATAATGACAGTGACTCTAATTCAGCAAGGGCAAAAATGGAGCCTACAAGGAAGTCATGATTCCAAGTTTTCAAGTTGAGATGGGCAAATCCAACTGGACTTCCTGGGATAGGTTTCAAGGCCGAGGACTAATCCTCTGTGACGTGGGGCCTTGCCTCTGGGTCTCAGCCTGTGATACTTCCATCGTCATTTGATCCAGTAATCATCCTTTCTTCTCACACTCCTCTGATGTTTGTCCTCTTCCTGGTGTCAGCAGCCTTCTCTTGGTTGTTTTGCGCATACACCTTACCTGAGTCAGTCTGCAATGCCCCATGCTTGGCTCTGACCACTTTCTACCAGGGGCTGTTCTCACGATCTCAGGCACCTCAGGAAAATCTTTATTGACCTGATTTCTGTTGGTCATTGTGGTTTTTAATTTTTTATCTTTGCAACTAGCAGCATTGCCTAGCAAAAAAGCTGGGTCCACAGAGGTCCAGAATGAATCTCTATGCTGTCTGGCTCCAGGAGATAAAAATAAGAACATGGATCTCCACACAGAAATGACCTCCATGAGGTCTGACACTCTCTAGCATTGCAGCCGAGGAGAAAGCTTGAGGGAGAATCCCAGAGGTAAGGGACCCCACAGGACAGGCAGGGCTGTGTTAAATACTCATTTACCTTGTGTGTTCTCTGCTCCCATTCTATCACCCAGTGATTGAAAACAGACAGAGAATACATAATGGGACAATAGAAATGTGGGAAAAGCTGTGTCCAAGGAATGACCCTCATACTTTTGTTTGTTTTTAGCAGCAGAAATAGCAGTGCTTTATCCGAAGTCCACAAAACCCAACAATGCATTCTTGGAAGACAAGAGCCATGCTCAGCACAGGGAAGTTGGAGGTCAAAGCTCATGGGGCGGCCCTCCTACCATCAGGTGCTGTGGTGCTGAGACAACCTCTTAGTCTCTATGGACCCCAGGTTCCTCATTAGTGAGGTAAAGTGTGTATTGTTCCTCTCTGAGATCCTGCTGCTTAGGTTCCTCTGAGTCCCTGGGGAACCACACGTGCCCTGGGAACTGAGGCTGAGAGCTGACCTAGTCCCTCCTCTGTGTTTCCTCTCAAATCTGGAACTGAATACACATCTTCACAGGAGCTCAAGGGCCCAAGAACTTGAGCCGTCTTCCACTGCTTTCCCTGGCACATCAACAGGGAGCAGGATCAGCTGAAAGTGGAGCCGCTGGGACTCCACCAGCACTCATAGATGGGGCCAGTGTCTCAAGTGGTGGCTTAACCCACTATGCCACAGTGGCGACTCCTACATCTATTTAGGCATCAGATTTTTTTTTTTGACAGGCAGAGTGGACAGTGAGAGAGAGAGACAGAGAGAAAGGTCTTCCTTTGCCGTTGGTTCACCCTCCAATGGCTGCTGCGGTCGGAGCGCTGCAGCTGGTGCACTGCGCTGATCTGATGGCAGGAGCCAGGAGCCAGGTGCTTTTCCTGGTCTCCCATAGGGTGCAGGGCCCAAGCACCTGGGCCATCCTCCACTGCACTCCCTGGCCACAGCAGAGGGCTGGCCTGGAAGAGGGGCAACTGGGACAGAATCCGGCGCCCCGACCGGGACTAGAACCCAGTGTGCCGGCGCCGCTAGGCGGAGGATTAGCCTAGTGAGCCGCGGCGCCGGCCAAGGCATCAGATTTTAAAATTTCAAAAAAATCCCAGTTATGATCATCCACTCAAATGGAAACCTTAAAATTTGCAGCTTTTGGCACTGGCATTTCATTCAGCAGTTAAGTGGCTTTTGCAATGTTCACATCCTATATTTGATTGGCGGGGTTTGAGTCACCAAAGGGTTTCCTGTCCAGATTCCTGCTAATGTGCACCCTAGGAGGCAGCATATGCTGGAACAAGTATTAGATCTCTTAGTTCTAAGGGTACAGTTTAACAACTTGCCATAGGACCTTAAAATCCCTTAAGCTGCCTGATAAAAAGAGCGGCTTCAGTGTTATAGAGTAAATGCATAGGATTAAGTTGTAAAGAGAACATATCGACAGGATCAAGTGTTAAAGTGATCATATAAATAGGACAAAGTGTTTGTAAATAAAAAATAAATAAATAAATGGAAACAATAATAGAATTCAAAAGTGAAGGCTGTAATAAGAAAAGTGGTCCATACAGCAGACTCATCAAATGAGTAGCACTGTGAACTCAGAATATCCCCATAAGTCATTCCAGTCTGGCTGGAAAGCCCAAGAGAGCATTTCAGGCATGGAAATCTAAGACCCTTTGGCAAAAAATGCCCTACACATAGGACACCTGTGGGTGAGAATGAAGTGGAAAGAAGTGGCCACTATGAAGGATGCACATTCCCTGAAGGGAGGAGAGAGCTTCCTCTTTGCTCATGGCCTTGTCGAGCTAGGTGGATCCAGAAGGCTTCTGTAGCTGAGGCAGCTCATGTCAAGGCACCCTGGGTGAGCACTGAGGTCAGACATAAGAGTGTGATTTGTTAAAGACACAGTGAGAGCCACTGTGCACTGCCCTCTGTCCTCAAAGCTGCATCAAGGGACCTAATAGTAGAACTGTTCTCCAGAATCACTTCCTTTTAGTGCATTAAATGGAGGATATTCTTATGTCTCATAGGTTATAGTTCTGTCTAAGAGCTCACAGCAGATGTATCATCCGTGGGTTCTTCTTTGAAGACAATTAAGTTTCTAAAAGGAAAGAGGCAGGAAGAAGGAAGGGAATAGCAGAAGGGGGCAAAAAGTGAAATCCCCTTTGAGAAGCAGTAACCTTGGACAGCCCTTTGCTAGGCTGCTGAGTAACAGTTCTCTTAGTTTTCTTATTCCATTCTGTCTTTTTTTCTTTCTCAGACTAAACAGGAGAGTTGGAGGAGGAAGAGGGGGAGAATAGGTGGGAGGGTAGGTAGGTGGGAAGAAGGACTATGTTCTTAATGTTGCATTTATGATATACATACAACATTAAATAAAGAAGTTAATTTAAAAAAACTCCTTCAAATATGTAACACACATATTCCTCAAAATAAGTATGTCATCATTATATAAATAGTTGAATAATTATATATAAATATATTATTAAAAGGCAGGCCAGTGCTGTGGCTCACTAGGCTAACCCTCTGCCTGCGGCACCGGCACCCAGGGTTCTAGTCCTGGTTGGGGCACCATTTCTGTCCTGGTTGCTCCTCTTCCAGTCCAGCTCTCTGCTGTGGCCCGGGAGTGCAGTGGAGGATGGTTCAAATGCTTGTGCCCTGCACCCGCATGGGAGACCAGGAAGAATCACCTGGCTCCTGGCTTTGGATCAGCGTAGCACACTGACTTCAATGTGCTGGCCATAGCAGCCACCTGGGGGGGTGAACCAACAGAAAAAGGAAGACTTTCTCCTCCCTCTCTCTCTCTCTCTCTGTCTAACTCAGCCTGTTAAAAAAATAAAAAAATAAAAAGGATTAGGTTCTTCCCACACATTGGCAGAATAAATTGGAGTTCTGGACAAAAAATGTCACCCTAGCCAAGTCTGACTGTTGCATGCATTTGGGGAATGATACAGTGATGGTACACATAGCCTTGGTTGTGTATGTGTGTATGTCTCTCTACATATGGATCTCTACATCTCAAATAATTATAATTAAACAAAAAACATTTTCATTTTCATAAAATGTTTCATCTTATAAATTACTTGTTTCATCCAAAGGGCAAAAGGACAGAGAAAAGAGATCTCCTATTGACTGGTGTGCACCTAGGAGGCCTGAGCTAACCTGGGCCTGGCCAGGCTGAAACTTGGACTGGGTCCATCAGGATCTCCCACATAGACTGCAGTGACACAAGTACTGGAGCCGTCACTGCTGCCTCACCGTGTGTGTACTTCCAGGAAGCTGGAGGGGAGAGCTAAAGCAAGGACTCGGTCCCAGGTGTGGGGAGCAACTCGGACTAGACTAAGTTACTGGAATTAAGACTTATTCTATGCATCTGCTCTCCCACAATATGGCGCTGAGAGAAAGAGACCAAACAACCTCTACGCAGCTGCCTCATCAGTTTGACATCCTGCAAGAGCTGATCCTGCTCCTGATTGGAGGAGAGCAGCGTGCTTGGCGTGTGGGCAGCAGAGTTGGGATTGGTGGAAGAGGACTATAAAGGAGGAGAGAGACAACATGCACCAGGGAACATCTAAAGGGAACATCCGGATAACATCTGAGCAGCCCCCGAGAGAGCCGGCCGGCAGTGTGCCGCTCCCCCGAGGAAGTGGGGAAAGTGGCAGGGGGAACCGCCCCTCCACGGAGGTGGAGGGTCGGTAGCCAACCCGGGAAGAACCAGCAGCAAACCTGGGAAGGGCCGAGCAGACAAAAGAACAGTGCAGGGTCTAGTGTCGTTCCTCCGTGAAGAGGGGGAGCGACACCCAGGCACTCTGATTCAGGTGTGGGCATCCCAGGTGGCATCTTAACTGCTGTGCCAAATGCTTGTGCCAATTTCAACCTCTTAGAAGAAAAAATAGTACAAAGTATTTTCAACTTGAATTTACTACATCTTTTAGGTAAGATACCCAAACTGTACGTAATAAAAGAATAAATTCATAAATGTCCCAATATGTTCAAATTTCCTGTTCAAAGTCATTGATAAGAAAATGAATACACAGGCCAACATAGGGAGAAAACATTTTGAAATTGCATACCTGATATAACAATTCTTTTCAGAGTACCAAAAGAGCTCTCAAAATTCCTTTCTAAGAAAATAAAATGACCCATTTATCAGGGAAGCTTAAAATTCACCATTTCAAACAGTTAGAAAAGCCTTGAGATCTCTTTAAACAGCAGGTGGGGTGACTTCCTAACAGCCCTGAGAAAGGAAGGCTTGTTGGGACACATTTTCTGTCTTGGTATTTTCATACACATACATGACTATACAAGCGATACATGCTTAGGTGATTTGGGGACACGGTCTGTGGTATCAGTGCAGGATCTATAACTATGAGACTGGCAGATGGGTAGGTTGTCCCCACCAGTGGGGGTCTTGTGCCTCAACCTAGCTTAGGCCCCTGGAAGGCAGAGTTCCAAAGATTCCATGACACGCTCCACCTTCTAATTCTGCGATGGCAACGGCAGACCGTTAGCTGCCACACAACAGCCAGTCCTAGCAGAGACTGAGCTACAGGCAGTGCCTTCAATCTAGGCTTTGGCAGTTTTATCCTTGTTTGTCCAGTGAAGAACTTCCCAGGGTTGTCGGGCTGTGGATCAGGAGTTTCACATCAGTAAGTGAAGCTGGACAGTTATTGTCACCCCTCAAGCCTACCTGAAACTCTTGGATGTCATTTGTTTGACCCTCGCCTGTGTTTGGGTTTCCTCTCCCCAGTCCCTGTTGTCCTGCTGTGACACACCATCAGCATGGCAGGATCCCACAGCTCTGCATCAGATCCCAAGGCAGAACTGAATGACCTCGAATGCCAGCAATTGCGATCCCAGCTGGCAAAGAGCCAACAGGACTGCTGGGAGCTCCAGGAGAAGTTTCTCATAGCTGAGGCTACAAACTTTGCCCTGGCCATGGAGCTGAAAAAATACAGTAAGTTCTCTCGGGTCATTTCACCACAGTGATGATTGTCCTGTATCTTCTCCTGAGGAACTAAATGGTTTCCCTCACTACGTGATTTTTGTCTTCTATTTGCTGAACTTAATTTCCTCCTGACCACACTCCCAAGCTGACACACAGGGTTCGCAAGTTTTCCAAGGTAGCAGTGAGGTGTAGGGTGACAGGAGTGCTGAATCTGTCATGGAGTCCTGATGAGGCATAGAGCTGCCTGTTGTCCTCAGGGTCAGGCTCCACCATATTGAGTGCATGTTTATGATCATCCTGTCTGTGTCAGCTCCTGCAGCCTTATACCATCACTGTGGGCCTCATTTCTGGGGCTAACTCAATTCAAGCTTCTGTTGACTTCCCATTGGCAAAGCACTGTCCTAGGTCCAGAAGTGGACATGTGTTCAGAGTGAGCAGGATGGGCTTCCAGAGAGACAGAGAGTCTCCTGTGCACTGGAACTCTGGTATCCATGGGAACACCCTCACAACACAGCCTCCCCACTGGGAGAAAAGTCCTGCTCCTGGAGCACAAGTTCTTCTTCCAGAAGAGGAAGATGCTGCCTGAGACCTGGGAGTGGGAGCACAGGGTGTAGGGGGGGAATCAGGGCCACTCACCTGGGTGCCCCCATTGCCCACCTTCTCTGTAACTTTGATTTCTCTCCCATTCATAGGTTCTATCTGGGTGCCTCTGTAGATTGTCACAATAAAATGTGCTCCTTCTTTCCTATACAACTCCAAGTATGATTCATCGCTCAAGATCAACAGAATCCATGAGGCCCTTATTGTGCTGTTTCTAATTTAGCAGGAACTATACTTTTTATTGGGCCATATTGCCTCAGGGCCTTACTTTGTTATACATTGTACTCTACACAGTTCCATGAAAGATGGTCCCTTAAGTCTGAAATAACAAACACTTGAAATCTTTCCCAATGCAAGGAAACAGTCCTATACCCTTATCAAGCTCCCAAACATACAAAAGGTGACGACTTCATGCCCCAGGTTCCTGTTTGACCTGAGAGGCTGCAAGACTTGCTGAGTCCAGTGGCTCATGATTCAGTCTGAGCTCAGGGGCTGGGAACTCTGATTCTGTAAACACCAGTGGAATCACATTGTCAAGTCATCTTCTGTATCTTTGAAGTCCTTTTTTCCCATTTTATTGGGAAATAGCAGGGTCAGTGCTGTGGTTCAGCAGGTAAAGCCACTGCCTGCAGTACTGGCATCCTATATGGGTACTAGTTCAATTCTGGCTGGTCCACTACCAATCCAGCTCTCTGCTATGGCCTAAAAAACAGTAGAAGATAACCAATGTGGCTAGGCCCCTGCATCCACATGGGAGACCTAGAAACAGCTCTTGGCTCCTGGCTTCAGACTGGCACAGCTCCAACCTTGCAGCCATTTGGGGAGTGAACCAGCTGATGGAGTCTCTCTCTCTCTCTCTCTCTCTCTCTGCCTATGTCTCTCTGTAACTCTGCCATTCAAATAAATAAATAAATCTTTTAAAAATAGGAAATTTCAGATGCTATGTAGTGAGGTGATGAAATACAGATGTGAAACTCTCAATCTGGAGCCTGGCCCTGGAGTTCTTTTGGTCTTCAGCAGGCACTGACTACAAAAGCACCTCCCTGATTTCTGCGTGTCTGTCTTTCCCCAGATTGTGAGAAGTTTAAAAACATCATTGAGTCCATACTGACCAAAAAGCTCCACTTGGAGGAGCCGCTGGCAGAGAAGCCCACGGTCCCAGAGCTGCTCAGGTAAGGGTCTCTGTGTGGGGCAGATAGGTGGGAAGGTGTGTGGGTGTCTCTGGTGGGGCAGCTCAGAAGGGAGAACTGAGGCATCTCAGGCATGGAAAACCAAGGCACTGTGGCAAACAATGTTCTCCATGTAGGATCACTGTGGGACCCCAGACAGAAGTGGCCATCAAAGGAGGATGCACTTTTCTCTAAGGGAGGAGAGAACTTCCACTTTGCTGATGGCCTTGTCTAAATACAGACAGAGTTTTCAAAATGCTTCCATAGCCTAGTCAGCTCATGTCATGAGCCTTGTGTGGTCACTGACAACATACAGAGGAGTGCTAATTGTTCAATTAACAGCAGGAGTCACTGTGCACTGACTCCCCATGCAGGACCTCTGTTCTCAATGAGTTGTATTAAGAGAGAGTTACAGTGAAACATTTCTCAAACAGTTTTTATTCTTGTGTGGGTGTGTGTGCGCATTGTTGAAATTGTTACTTAATATAGAGTTGGTCTTCTGTGTACAAAGTTCATTGAAAATGCATCTTAAAGGAGAATGAGATTGAGAAGTAGAGAGGGAAGAGGAGCTGGGCTGGGAGTGTGGGTGGTACCCTGGGTATGGGGAGAAGAATAACTATATTCCTAAAGTTGTCTCATGAAATGTATATTCCTTAAAATAAATGAATGAATAAATTTTTTAAAAGAAATGTTAAAAATCAATTTTACAATGAAAGTAAAAGTGAATAGGGACTTTGAAAAAATTCTCCCTTCAGGAGAAATTAAAATGAAAATACATTTTTCCCTCTTCAATTACTGTTTATTTCCCAAATGAAATGGTATGCATAGATAATAATAATAAAAAAAGACATCATGGAGTCCATGTTGACCAAGAAGCTACACGGGGAGGCCCCTGCCAAAGCAGCCCAGGTCTGCTGAGCTGTTCAGGTAAGGCTCTCTGTGTAGGGCAGGCAGGTGGGGATGTGTGTCACTAGTGGGCAGCCCAAATCAAAAACTGAGCCAGCCTGTGCCAAACAAGGGCAGAGAGTTACAGCAAAGCCCCGTGTCTCAGATGTTATGAAACAAGGAGGGAGCAGAGGAATCTGAATTCAGAGCTGCAAGTGCGGAGAGTCTGTAAGTAAGGTGTCCAGGTGGATGGGCTCCCATGGGGCCCTCCTGTTTACTCTCTCTTCTGCAACAGGAAATCCCTGTGGCTGTGTTTCTGGGAATCCAGTCACCAGTTAGCTTTGGTCCTCTGTCAGTGGCACTATGCCTGTTCTCTCTTCCTCCCGTATTCTCATGGTTCCCTTAGTGTGGAGGTGTTTTTCTGTGGGCACTCACCTCGAGATGGAGCTGCATTGGGTCTTCTCGAAGGAGCAGGGGATGCTGGGCTCCTCTGTTTGGTCATCTTGCAATCAATCCTCATTTACCCTTAGTCACCATCACCTCCTGATATAGAAGACTGATGCTCAGCTTGGCCCTGCCAGATCTTCATTCTTGTTTCTTGCCATGTAACCCCTGTGTGCACCATGATTCCCAGTCACTGCACTGTACACTGTGTGTCTTCCTACATGGAAATGCCTGTGGCTGGAAGGAGGAAATGAATTAGCACCTTTATGAAGGCGAGGAAGGAAGAATCCTTGCACTCTTGATAGAACATGACCTGAATGGAATCTCAGGAATTGTGACAAGATCTTTCTCTAAAACTGGGAGCAAGGCCTTGTGTTGCCCTTTGCTTTTCCTGGCACAAGTATTTCTCCAAACCTGAGTGGTGATGCTGGTGGAGGGCTCTATAAGGCATTGTTATGAAAATCTGTGGAAACACAGAGAACCTAACACTCATCCCTTCCCATCTAGAACTTTCTCCACGCTTGCACCTTAGGCATTGCCGTGGCATCCTTGAAGATCAGGACCAAGAACTTTCCCAGTTACGTCCAAAGGTCCAAAGGGGGAGAAATCTAGCCCACATCCTGCAGCAGTACCTGAAGGACGTGCTCACCGTGCATGACCCTGAGACCTGTACGGGGCAGGGCTTCCGACGACTGCTCACTGAGGCTGTCCGGCTGTCAGCGAGCCTTGAGGACCTGCTTGGAGCAGGTAAGCTGGGCACAGGCTGTCATGTGAGAAGCCTCAGGGGTTCAGATGCATTCATCCCTCTGCCATGGGCATTTGCCTCAGCTCTTCTTGGGACTGAACATGTGTGCCATGACAAGGTCAGCTCTGCTTGGGAAAAACAGATAAGGGTAGAGAAGTCTTTCAAGTTTGCAGTATCCCAAAGCTCTCCTCCGTTCCTGATTGTGGTTGGCCTTTGGGGCAAGAGGCAGGGTCCATCCTCATATCAAGACCAGAAAGACCTTGTGAAGTGAGGCCACTGTTAGGCTGAACAAAGTCACTGAGCTAAGTTGAATGGAAGCCTCCAGCTCTGTGATCAGTGTGGTTTTCAAATGGTAGACAGCTGATTGCTTTCTCCATCCAAGATTTCTCTCTCCTCATTCACTAGATGGACCAAAAATCTGGGGCAGAGCAGATGTAACCATCAAAGGTGGGAGCTGTTTTTTTGTATGTTTCCCAATAGGACAAAGGCCCTCCTCTCCCTGGGAGTGCCAGACCAGGCACTAGAGTTAGTAGAACTTCCGTGAGGAAAGCTGTTGAGAAGGGAACTCATAACACAGAGAGAATTTCCTTTAATGATACAGCAGAGAAAACGTGGAGGGCTTGTGAGGGAGGGATGGAAGTCGGGTTCTTTGCTTCTTCATGACAGATGGAGGTTCTCTGTGAGACCCATGGGAACATAGAACCCATGCCTTGGACTCCCACTAGTGGCAGGATGAGGGATAACAGGCAGAAGTCCCAGGGAAGCTTGAGAAGCTTCCAGTGATATGGGAGCGAAGGATGTTGGCCTAGTTTCAGGCAGAATCTGCTATGGTTCTGATCTCCAAGTGCAGGGACACAAAGCCTGATGCACCACAAGAGAATGGCAAGGTGTTTCTTTAAACACACTATTGGCACATGTGTAGATATTCATATGCACACAGAGGCCACCTTGATTGTAGTGGGGTAGGGGGTTATAATATCTGATTGGACATTTCTGAATTTGTTTACAGAAAATATTGAAGAGGAGGAAACACCAGCACAAGGACCTGTTGCTGACAGGTAATAGTGAATGATTAGGAGCTGGCAACAAATGGGTGAAGGATGCACAGGGTCTCCTAAAGAACGGAAAAGGGGCCGAGAAGTCATGGAGTTGAGATGCACACAGAAACACAGCTGCAGATTGTGTTGAGTCCTTCCTTGCCAACTAGGAAATCCCCCTGTTAAAGTAGTTGTCTGTTGTCCTAGTCCTAGTTGCTGATAGGATCCATCATGAACTCACAGCCTTAGGTGTTGCCTGCACACAAAGGGAACCCCTGTTCTCTGCTTTCTGGAAAAGCAGAGGAAGATGGGCATCTGCTTTCTACAGAGTTAGCTGAAGTTCTCATCAGAGAAAGCTAGCAAAGAGGCAATGTGCAAAGGCAGCAGTTAGGAAGAATCCAGCCAGGTTCAACTGCAGAAAAGCACCTCTACAAAACCATGTTTGCTGTCCTGTGACTTGGTTAAGAGAAGGCCCAGAAGGTAGCACATCTCTAGAATCTGCCAAGCCCCTAGGACCTTGATCACATGGCTGCAGGACACTGCAACAACCCAACCTGAGCACAGGGTGTCAGCCTGCACGGCTGTCAATGTGTGCTTGTGCTGTGACTGTGCCATGCAGCGACAGTGGAGGCTGCTTCCTCATTAGCTGCTGTGTATTGAGTGTGATGAGCAGAGGCTGATCTCTTCCCAGGCCCTCTCCCCCTAGGCAGCCACACGGTGTCCAGAGTGGAGGGAACTGCCTCTATGCTGTCTATGACCAATCCCTTATGCACCCCATCCAAACCAGCCAACTCCCCTGGTGTCTCTTCCTTCTTGGTTTCATCTCTGTCATCCTTATCCCACCTGGCTTCTCAGGGAGTTCTTGGAAGTGGATGAAATGGAAACCCCACAAAGTTCACAGCAGGAAACATCTATCACTGGTGCTGTTGACCACCTGCCCAGTGACTCCTGCCTGCCTGAGGGCACTGTGCAAATGTCTCGTGATGCTGAGGACACCCACGGTGTGCTAGGTGTAGATGGGGGACACGCTTGTTCACACAAGAAAGAAGAACCTGTCACCGTTCTCCCAGGTAGCCTCTCCATTCTTTGTACACAATGACTCTCAGGTGGAGGGTTGCTTTTGAGCACAGGCCCTGCAGACGCAAGTTGGTTTCAGTCAGGGTCCAGGTTGTGGCACTGAACATAGACATCAGGAGAGTCAAGGAGCTTCCCTCCCCTCAGATGCAGTTTGTCTCACTGCACCCTAGCCTAAGGGAACATACAGAGGCCCTGTGTAGGAAGTGCCTTTCAGACACTCTAACTTAGAAATAATGCCTGCTGTCACCTGCCGTGATATCATTCTGTTCTGCTACTGTATCCCTGGAGTTCTATCCCCATGCAGGCTTTGGGTAACACTTCCCATGTGTGGGCCAAGTTGTGATCCTAGTTTCCCTACTTCCATCCCTAGTCTCTATCTCCTTTAAGACAGCTTATCTTAGCTATGCAATCATCTCAAAACCAGGACACAAAGTCTTTTATACTGTACTTCCTGTACAGTTCAAAAAACATAGCTGAATCCAGCAATTTCCCTACAAAATCAGTGTTCAATGTTTCTCTATAACTGCATAGATTTATTTATATGAGGTGTTATAGAGTTCATTCAGCCTTCTATAGAAACTCCTCTACCCTTATTCACCATGATCAGTGTGATAGGATGAGTCAGTACTATAGCAACACTCCTAGATTTTAGATACATAAATCCTAAAGGGCCTGGGGAGAGAGCTCTTGAATTGCTTGTATTGTTCCCATAGACAAGAGGGAGATTATTCATGAGCAACTCTTAGAATAGCCAAGATTCTGTGTGGCATCAAACAGGTTTCAATTCCAGGAAATGCAGACTCCATGCATAGCTCTCTCCCAGTGTTCTACCTCCTCTCCACAGTCAGCAACCTGGGTCCTTTAATGAGAGCAGCCTGATGACTGCAGTTTGCCTCCTAGGAAGTTCTTGGGCTGTGAGCTTAGAATCCCTGAGGACCATTGCAGGCAGTTTCTAAGGGTTCTGGACAGAGGCTATTGAGATGGTGATCCAACTGTGAACAGGGAGATTTGACCCCTTGCCCAGGATGGCTCACCAAGCCCATCTCCTGATGTTGACTTAGTCCTCCTGGAGGATTTCTGTCACAGTCTCCTGTTCTCACAATCTGTCCTCTTGGTAGTAGTGGCCATTGGATACCAATATCTGACCCAAAACCTGCTTAACCTGGTCATTCTCTCTGAATTTGTTTGCAGAAAATCAATATCATGAAGTGGAGGTACAAGAGCAAGTTGTCACATACACTTCCAGGTAACTCGGAGGCAGAGCAGACACTGTAGCATGGACTACTAGGGAATCGAAATGCTGGAGAAACTGGTGACTACAGCCAGTTGAAACATTCAGCCAATGATGAAATGGCTCTGTTCCTAACGTTCCCTTTTGTATTGTTTCCCTCTATATTCCCCCTTTGAAAATCCCTCACATATTTTTACCTGTAGTCTGATGACAAAGTCACTTCTGTACCTGTGATGCGTGTCTTCAGTGTCTCTGCCCTCCCATCTCAGCAGGGAGCTCCCAGAGGAGCAAGAGCAGGAAGACCCAGATGACTCACTGGACGAGTGCTACCTCACTCCCTCGATTTCTCCAGTCGTTTCTGAGCTTGACCATTCCACGTGGAGCAGCTGGTGCTCCCTGGAGCAGCAGGACATGCTCTCTGCTCCAGATGCAAATGGTGAGTCCCCCACTGTGAGGTGATACAAACCCCTCTGCTTGCCAAGGAGCCCGCACTATCCTTGCACTCATCACTCCCACCTGACTGAGAGGGCTCCTGGACATGGGATGGTCTGAGACGTTCTCAGCATCTGTTCTTTTTCAACCAGTCTGTTGCACAGGTGTGGTTGGCCCATCCAGCCTTGCTGTCCTCCCATTCCTTGTGTGGCTTTGTCACTCAGATTCCAGTGCTCAGTCATTGCCAGAAGAATGTCACAGATGCACACCAACCTAAGCAGCACATCTCATGCTTGTCTCTGCCATCCGTTCCTAATGAAGCAGACCCGTCTGCCCCCTGCAGTGTTGATCACATGTGCCATCCCCCATCCCTGTCATGTGACATTGTTTCCTGTCAGAGCCAGCAGCATGCTCGTCTCCATTGCAGTCAAGATACTCCCCCTGTTTCATTGAACCCAACCACGTTGTCTGTCCCTTCAAAGTTGGCATCATTTCACCTACCACACATACAGAATGTTCTGCCATTCCTTTAGTAGTGTGTCCCCAGGCTGCAAGTCTGAGACCTGTGCTTAGAGATTCCATGAGTAGCCAAGTTTTCTCTTGTGCTGCACACATGCACTCTGATACCCAGAACTGAAAATTCACCTGTTCCACCTTTTATCTTATCCTCAATGTACAAAATATGGTAAACCACAAACTACCAAGATAGCTTGTTTGAGAACCATGGGCACTGCACTTCCTCTCATGGAAAGGAATCACACTAGGAACCAAGTCTCCAGAGAATATTATTTTAGATTTGATTTTACCTTATGAAAGGCAGAATTAGAGAGAGAAACAGGAGAGAGAGAGAGAGCAACTCTTGCATACTCTGGTCTGCTCCCCACATGGCCACAATGGCATCGACTGGACCAGGCCCAGGGAGGAACTAGGAGTTTCCTCCAGGTCTCCTATGTGGGTGCAGGGCCCAAGTACTGGACCATCTTCTACTGCATTCCCAGGTGCATTAGAGGGATCTGGATCAGAGTAGAACAGCCAGGACTTGAAGCGGCATTCACATGGGATCCTGGGGTTAAAGGCAGCAACTTTACCTGCTATGCTACAGCACCCACACTTGGGAAAATTTGTTTCATTTGTGTAGGGAATCAGGTCAGCGATTATTGGTGTGATGACTGGAGGAATAGGGAGGTTTACCTCATGTGTCAAAGAAAAATGAACAAGCTAGTTCCCTCAGAAATGACCTCCACCCTCTAGACAATTCCTATCTGAGGAGTCGGCAGTGACACTGAGGATACTGGTGTGCTGTGCTGGCGCTGGACAGCGCATTGTACAGGCTTTGAGGGGATCATCCTAGATGACTGTGCCTATTTGAATTCTTTTGCAGAAAAGGAACATGACAATGATGAAGTGCAAGAGGAAGCACAAGCCCTGTCACACACCAGGTGAGTCTTAGGAACCCTGGGCAGTGAGCTTAGTGCTGACACAGGCAGACTCCAGGTCCAGAGAAGAAGAGCAGTGCCACTGTGCATCTCCCATCCATTGAGCCAACCCAGCGGTACCCCATCAGCACTGCTGTCTGCCATCATTAGGGTACTAGTCTGGGTTTCCACTTCTCCCTACCTTTTCCACGTAGTGACCTGCAGCAGGCTGACTCCATGAAGGAGCCTCTCCAGGGATTCCTTGCCATCATTGCCCCTCTCTCACGTGCAGTGAAGGGCAGGGTGCTGCTCACAGGTCTCCTCTTCTCATGAGCTTCTCTGCCCCCCATTAATCACGTGAAACCACCCGACAGAAACTAGTGCCTCAGCACTGAGAATAAGACTGACGGCTAAAGCTGTGATAGTCTCCAGTATCCCACAAGGGGAATTCAATGACTCTGCATGTAATTTACATAAATCTGTTGAAGCCAGTTTTTGTTTTCCAAATACTCATGGGTACTAGTGGGCCAACTGAGTCATTTCTCCAGGCTGAGTCCCTAATGACCTCATCACAGAGGAAATCCTCTGTTTCTCTCTGCTTCTGTCTCCATGCCCTTTCAATATCTCTGCTACTCACCTATCACCTCAAACCTAACACTCTTTCTCCAAGAAGATGAGAGTTCTGTTTGCCTGTTTACTTTTCATTGACTTCAAGCAGTACAAATAAGCATAAAGAAGTCTACAAGCACATAGATCTAATAACATTTAATATTTGGCTGTAGTTGATTCATGTGTAAATATTATATATCTACACATACTTACTATTCTCAGTGAAGGCAGTGGGGTTTTTGTTTTACCTGGCTATTTGTATGCCACATGCTTCATATGAGCACTTCATTTTTCCTCACATGCAAGCTGCCCTGTGTTAACGTTCAGTTTGTCTACTCCAGGTGGTCAGCAAGGACCCTCCTCAAATGGAAGACATTGCATCCTGTCTGCACCGTTAGTAGCCAGTCTTCCCCAGATAGGGACAAAGTTGTGGGTGGCCCCTTGCTCAGCCCAGCCACTTCTGGAAGCCTCCTCTTTGGAACAGCTTGGAAAGGGGCTTTCTGTTCCCTTTATGATTCTCACCCACCTTTCCCTCCCTCCAGTCTCATCAGGGAGATTCCAGAGATTGAAGATCAAGATGTCTCACAAGACTCTCATGGTACGTGTTTGACTCCTGCACTTCTTCCGGAAGCTTCTGACTGGCCCCATTCTAGGAGCACCTGGTCCTCACTGGAGAAACAGCCTGTCTGCTCTGCTCTTGTTGTAGACAGTGAGTGCTCCATTGTGAACGGGAACACTCCACTGGTCTCCCACGTGGCCTCTGTAGTGTTGGGTTGCTGCACCTGTGTTGGGTGAGACAGACCACTGTGCACTCAGGCCCCGGGGACTTAATCTCGGTTCGGATGTGGCTCTTGGGTTGATTTGTTCATAGTCATCAAATGGGGGAATGCCTTGGCTGGTCTACCAGGCCCACTTTCAAGGTGCAGCTTTTGACGTCAAGGCAGGGAAGGAGGGGATGGAAGGCAGGATGGCAAACACGAGCCACCACCATGCTCTCTTGGAGAGGCCTTCTTGAACAAGTCACTGTGATGTTCTTAATTTTACACAGCAGTTGCATTGTAAACAGCATCCTCCAAACTTCTCAGGCTTAAAGCTTTGGCAGTCTGTACAATGTTTCCTTAGTTATCTGTATACTAGGTATCACTTGGTTGGCTAGACTCTGTCTTTCTCTGAAGCAGCTTGGTGCTAACCACAGCAGTCCAGTCCCACACTGTGTCATGTGTGTTGGTTTTCATCTTCTGCTCACAGTACTGATTTGTGCTCATATGAGGTCTGTAGTTTTAATCCAGTGTCTAAACTCGGCATTTTTTTCTCATGCAAAGCCTCCATAATCTTGCTGCCACGATAGGAATCTATTCAGTATCTGAGTGAGGCTAGGGGTCCTCACGTCATCACAGGCAGAGTGCCTCTCTTGTTGATAGGAGCCTTGGATATATGCCTTCATGGGGGGGGGCAGAGAAAAGTCAATTTCCTGAATCTGACGCTTGAGAGGTTTTACACTTTTCTATCAGCACGGAATCTTTAGGGTTTGAGGCACCTTCACTCATCAATCATTCAGTAGGAAATCAAAATCCAGATGATCCTGTCCTGTGTTCCCATTTCTGCAGTAGAATTGGCAATGACAGTTGTCCCCCCAGTGCTATAGATCAGCAGGCACC